ATAAATAAATAAATAAATAAATAAATAAATAAATAAATACTCAGCCTGACACCTGAGCAGATAGTGCCTTCCCTCAGCATCCCTGTCATGAACAGGTTCTGAGGTTAGTGGCCAGGGTGCTAGCTTTTTGTTAGTGCTGGTGGTGGTGGTGGTGGTTTTTTTGAGACAGAGTCTTGCCCTGTCGCCAGGCTGGAGTGCAGTGATGTGATCTTGGCTCACTGCAACCTCTGCCTCCCGGGTTCAAGCGATTCTCCTGCTTCAGCCTCCCAAGTAGCTGGGACTATAGGCACCCGCCACCAGGCCCGTCTAATTTTTGTATTTTTAGTAAAGACAGGGTTTCACCATGTTGGCCAGGATGATCTCGATCTCTTGACCTCGTGATCTGTCCGCCTTGGCCTCCCGAAGTGCTGGGATTACAGGAGTGAGCCACTGCGCCCGGCCAAGGGTGCTAGCTTTTTAAGTATCTATTCCAATAAAGCAGAGCTGGCCTGCCCTCTTCCATGAGCCAACTATGAACCAGGCTGTCTAACAGGTCATCTGCTATTTTACGTCACCAAAGCCTTCTTAGATCAGACATGGAAGTTTTGGGACCCCATTCCCATTTCTTAGATTATGAAACTGAGGTCCAGGTCATGTAGCTTAAAAGAGGGAAAAACAGAATCTGAGCATTTTCCTGACTCCAAAGCTGGGCTATAGCCGCTGAGTCTTGTAGCCTCGTCTAACTCTTATTTATGGTGCAGGAAGCAGAAACAACCAAGAGAAGGGAGAGCGACTGCCCACGGTCACTCAGGTGACAAAGGGCAGGGCTGGGACTCAACCCGGGCCACCTGGGTCATCATTCAGTCCTCTGTGTGCTCGCAGCTCCTGTTGTCCAATCCCTGGCCTGATCTCTCTCCAGGAGCTGGATGTTCACGAGCCCCACTCCTGGATATGAGTTTCCAGTCAGCTCTGACATAAGGTGCTGGGAATTCTCTAAGCATCTCTTAGACTCAAGCTGGGTCCTGGCTGTGCTCCTGTGTTGCTGTGTTGAGCAAAGGCAAGCCACTTCACCGCTCAGGGCCTCGATTTTTCTCATGTGTAAAATGGGACTAAGGATCTTGTGTTGTGATAAGGATTAAGAAGATACTAATAAAGCGTTTATGGTGATCTGAGGCATATGGGGGTAGTGAGCAAGTGGTCCTTTCTCACCCTGGTGCCCACCTGAGACACCAGCACCTCCCTGGTGGTCTCAGTTTCTCTTCTTGTCTCTAAGCTCTACCCCTGCAGAATTCCAGCACTGAACTTGGGAGCATGCGTGCACACACACAAACACACACACGTACACACACATGCACACACACACACCACACACACACACACAGCATTTTCCAATAACCCTCTGAACTAAAAGCAGAGAATGCTGCCAGCCTCATGCCAGCACTCTGGGCTGAGCAGCCAGGGAACATGGTGAGCTTTTTTTAATGCTACAAAACGTATCATTTCAGTTTTACGACTCCCTAGTTCTTGAATGTCCATAAAAGTTGTTCCAGTCACATCATCTCTCAGATACTTAATGAAAGGCAAAGTGCCAAAATAAGAAGTCACAGCTTTTTAGCTTTTGTTCCACCTCCCCAGAAGGCCAGCTTTTCTCCTCGGCTGGGTTCGCTCTGGCCCCAGGGAGACATTGCACTGCTCCAATTCAAGTTATGGTTCTTTGTTCCATTATGGAGGGATGGGATTCCTGGGCTGGCCCTCCCACACTGTGTTGTTGTAGCTGCATGGTTTAGGTGGGAAGGAAAACACAGCACCTCCAATGCCCCATCCCCGTCCCCAGCCCTGGCCCAACTCACCTTTTTGACTGTTGCAGGACCTGGGGTGCATCCAGGGCTGAGAGGTTGGGCTTGGCTCTGTGGAGCCAGCCCGTGAGGTCGTACCGCACAGGGTCCCATCCCAGCTGGTGGAAAATCTCACACTGGAGGGGCTGCTCACAGGTCCGCAGGGCAGAGGACCCTGGAAAGAGACATGGTGGCATGAGTGGTAGGGCCTGGTGGGGACACATTGCAATCAGCTGGCATCCCCTAAACATACAGTATCTATCTTAATGTGTTCCCAGATAGCTAAAGCTCATGGCTGAAGGCACCCACGTTTCTCCTGCTGTGGTGAATTTGTGTACATTATTTCCAAAGTGCATTTTATTCTTTCTTGCTTTCTTAAATCTAGGATACCTGTTTTTCCCATACATCATCTGCATACTCAATCTCCTCGAGTTTTTCTATATATATAACCACCTATCACCTGGGCTGTGATTTACTTAATGTTTTCTTTAAATCGACTTACATTTTCACAAGTACAGTACATTCATTTTAAAAGAAGAATCATATTGCAGATTTGATGTGCAAGACATGTTCGTTTTCTGATATGCATGGCAATTATGATGAAATATTTTTAAAATATTTAGTTGTATGCCACGTAAAATCATTTTGAATACCATCAACCAAATAAATACAGGGAATACTTTTGGGAGATACGGGCAC